AACGAACCTTTGGAATGGCCATAGGATCACCATTTTCTCCAATTTTGAGCAGTATATTCATGGGGAATTTCAAAGGAAACATCATCGAAAATTACCATAAATAACCTTAAAAATGGTAGATTAGTCGTAGATACCTAACCTAACCTTACCTTACCCAACCTAACATTATGGAGCTAGATGGTTTTCTGGAATCTAACAATCAGTACTCTTTCCTAGATGTTTTAATTGGGAAATCGAATATCATCTTTGTAACAAGTGTATATCGTAGAAAGACCCATACTTACAGATACCTGAACTTTAAATCAAATCATCAGAAAAGTATCAAGAAAGGAATAATCAAATCACTCCATGATAGAGCCAAATTAGTATCATCTGACCAACAAATTTCCTAAAACATTTACCACATTGAAAATGTTCTACAACTCAACTTCTATTCAAAGAATCTTGTCGATGAAACGATTCATCAAATTGAGAACAAGTTTTACCACAACAAAATCAACCATCAATAACGACATATATAAGACCATACATTCCCGGTATTTCTGGAAAAATAAAACGGGTTGGTGATGGATTTCAAGTTGAAACTGTGTTCGAAATTGAAAATACAATGGGATAAATTCCAACTCAAACTAAACCAAAAAATGAAAAACAATCGTCAAAAATTTGTATTTACAGTATACCTCGTGTTCGTGGAAAGTTTTTTACAGGTGGAAAAAAGATACCTCTTTCAGTAAAAACGAAGAAACATAAATACAATATGAAGAAAAGACAGATCGACAGATCGAAACTAGCTGAACATATCCTCACTGAGGATGGGCCACATAGGGCAGAGTGGAATTACATTAAAATCATTGGAGGAGAAGATAACAACCAGAAGAGAAAAATCAAGGAATCTGCTTGCATTCTTCTGAACGGAGACAACAGCATTGCTTCCTATTCAGTTGATATGGATAGAACATGGTATTTACTACTGAAAGCTGATAATGCAAATGATAAATTCAAGATTAATTAATGAAATCATCCTGTAAGTCATTTGATTGCCGTGACGTCACTAATTATTGTCACTGAGAACTGAAAAGTGTCATAACCAATACGAATTTGCCATACAAAGAATCCACTTTTCATGTTGAGAACGAGAGCAGATTTGTTCCCGAAATGTCCAAAGATAAGTAAAAACTTGATATTTCTCCTATATACCTTCATTTCTCTTCTCCCAACCTCTTTCAATAGAAATTGTCACTGACAAGCTAGTAAATTCTCATTTCAGGTTCTCTGATATAAACAGTATATTATGTAACAAACGTCCTTTTAGTAACGAGTATTTCAAGCACGAGCGGAGTAGAGCGTAGCGAGTATTCAATAAACGAGTGTCTAGAAGAGTTTATGAACGCGTTACATACTATGCTTTTTCTACAAACTCCGAAAATTACATTAACATACCTGCTATTCCTGCTAACCTACAAAATAACTGGCAAGGAATGGGAATTGAGAACATAATACATGCAACTGCATGCAACCAGCGAGACGTGTAAGTGATATTGGTTGTAGATGTGTCCAGTTCATTGCTTTCTAACGTTTGTTCCACTATTCACGTTTATTGTCATGCTTAGCGCAGAATAAATCAGTTGTTCTCATAGATGGATGCTTCATTTCGACACTTCTTGGCGATATGCAAGTACCAGAACATTCTCGTCGATTCCACTTTCGTCTACATTTCGCATATATTTTCAATGGAGAATTATGATACAAACGAATATTGTTTGAATGAATCTGATACAAAATTTTGAATTAACAGTTGACAGTTGATACAATTGACAGGCCAGACATGTCTCAAATTACTGAAGCTGTATTTAATGAACTGTGTTGCAATGGTAATGTGTTTAAGAAATCGTGTTGCCATGGTAACGTGTTTAATATTTTGAATAAATTACAGATCGTCAATCCGTGATTAATCGATCATTTAGCGTGTTACATATCCGTACGCTGAATGCCATTTTAGTTATGTGAGTAGAAGGAAAAATTCTTGCTACTCTTATAACACAGTTCATTAAACACAGCTTCAGTAATTTGAGACATGTCTGGCCTGTCAATTGTAGGAACTGTCAACTGTCATTTTCGAAGTTTGTATCAGAATTATTCAAACAATATTCGTTTGTATCAGAATTATTCTTCATTCTATGCGAAAATATATGCGAAATGTAGACAAAAGTGAAATCGAAGAGAATGTTCAGGTACTCGCATATCTCCAAGAAGTGTAAAAATGCAGCATCCATCTTTGAGAATAATTTATTTATTCTGCGCTCAACATGACAATAAACGTGAAACAAAGGTGAGTAAGCAATGGACTGGACACATCTACAACCAATATCACTTATACGTGTCTCGCTGGTTGCATGCAGTTGCATGTATTATGTTCTCAATTCTCATTCCTTTCGAATAATTTTGTAGGTGAGCAGGAATAGTAGGTATGTTGATGTAATTTTCGGAGTTCGTAGAAAAAGCATAGTATGTAACGCGTTTATAAACTCTTCTAGACACTTCTTTATTAAACACTCGCTCCGCTCTGCTCCGCTCGTGCTTGAATTACTCGTTACTAAAAGGACGTTTATAATACTTGTTACATAAGATACTTTGAACTCAGAGACATTTTGGGGCAAATCATCTGATTTGTCCCAACTACACGAATATTGAAATAGTATTCATAATTTTATTTTATAGAGACGAGTAGAGAAAATCCCCAAGAAAAACTAGAATAATGAATGTACCACCTCCTCGATTAACCTACAGACAGTATAAAAGAATGTACTGAATATTAAAGATAATAAGACGAAAAGTATAATGTACAAATATCGAATCCCTGACAGAACAGTGAATTTCAGTTTATAAGACGCGTTATATATTCTGATTCTCGCAGCCTCGGCCGGAAATGATTTCGCACGACTTGCTTTTGCGTTCCAATTAACAGTGTTGCTCCTAAGGTGGCGTATGGAATGAGTGACAACGCCTTCACAAAATTCACATAGGCTGAAGAATCTCTCGTGAGGTCGATGGCCATTTGGTATGTACAGTCGTCTTCAGAGAACATGTCGCAAATGGACGGTGACAGCTCTCCTAATCACCGCTGCATATACCGTGCAACTGCGACATATTCACTGAAGACGAGTGTACATAGCTAAAACCTTATTACTTACAGGTACTCATTCACTGATAATGGCTTTATACTCAATAGCGCTCTGCTTAGATATTTTGAATGAACAATTTTGCACGAAGTACAAGATTCGTACAATTATTTAAATGTAAACAAGGTCTCTTCAAAGGATATGCAGTTTCATTTGTATAATACCGACTGCTGGACTAGAATCACCCATTGCTATTGGTACAATGAAACAAAACGTCAGATGAGAAATATGTTGAACGTAATCGCAGAAACACTAGTTCTGTCTTCCAATTTTTCTCATGTCGAAATAATTATAATATTCACTATTTTATCCCATTGAGAGATAATCTGAGATGAATTGTTGATTTTTCATTAGTAAAGAAGATCTATAATCAGTATTCCTCATCTTAGTTGTTCACTGATTGATATTTCATTGATGGTATCTCCATCCATTTCGAAACAATTCTTCAATTCTTCAAAGTTCGACAAAAATCAACTGCAGCTGTAACTAAAAGATTTGATTATGATGAACTTTTCATGATGTTTGTAATGCGTGCTTCTTATCATTCGTGGAATTGTCTAAGAAAATACCACTCTGTTCTGAATAGCATTACATAATGATAAGGACTTCTATTCGATGAATCATGCAAAGAACAGAATTGTGGATATTACTTGTGATAGGCCGCAAAAGGGTTGAACTCTTTATTCAATTATTTTCTGAACGGATCTCCCTTAGAATAACTTCATGAACAGTTAATCTTTGATAGAAGTCCATATTGCTCAGAGTGGTGTGAAATATTTCACAGGAAGGAAGGAATGCTGTAAGTCATCTCCACAAATTTTAATGATATTGTTACTAAATCATGAGGGACATGTTTCGGTCTAATTGAGAGGTCTACAATACAAAAACAAACGATATTGAAGTGACAGAATTACCTTTTTCATGCTAGACTTACTTGGAGATAGAAAAATTTTTATTGCTTTATGACAGTTCAAGGAATAGTAGCATCATAAAAATTTTTTCAACTCCAAGTAAGTACCATGAAATTATTTCACTTTTTGTATTGTAGACCTTCCAATTAGGCTGAAGATGGTATTTCATAAGACCGAAACATGTCTCTCATGATCTAGTAACAAAATCATTAAAATTTGTGGAGATGACTTCGAGCATTCCTTCATCCTTCCTGTGAAATATTTCACACAACTTTGAGCAATATGGACTTCCTTCCTGTGATTATTAACAGTGAATTTTCCAAAATGAATTACAATTTCTGAAACTGTGAATGGAGTTTCTGGCGCTGGTGGTGGGAAGTCAGTCGTTAATAAAATCCACTAGATGTTGTCTACCTCAAGAGTATCAAAATTAATTCAAAATCACAGTATATATAACCCCTAACGAAAAAAAGAAGTTATAAACCATGACATATCTGCGAAAAGCAGGAGTAGAATGTGCATGTTTTAATGATGAGAATGAAAGGCACAACACTTGTACAATAAGGTTGTAGTTTCCGAACCAGGAAGATATTCGGGGTATACCTTCCATTTTGCCAATGTTCAAGGTGATTGCTTCTGTTACACTTTGTAGGTACTCATGGTTTATCATCCATCATAATACAACCTGATAAAAATCTATGAGTAATCATTAAAGTCATCGCAATGACTGTATTATTATTATTACATCACCACCTGAAAGTAATCTAACAAAATAGTATCTCATTATATCCAGAATAACAATAAAACTGTGGGAGATTTGCTCAACGAATTTAATTATGTGTACCATGGAGGTTTTTGGAATATGGATATATCAAAACAGTGGAAATTCATCGTTATAAACCTTACTCACCGCAAAAATCAAGTTGAAGAAAAACACCAAGTATTTAACAACAGTGGTAGAACAGCCCATTATACACTGATGAATTCTGGTAATAATATATTATTGAAACGATAATCTGTTGAAATTATGAGAATGTGGGTGGTTTTCAGTTACTGTGAATAGGTAGTGTACACAAACTGTTGAATGCTATTTGCTTTTGAACAGTTCCCGGCGTTCGCGCTCACACGGTGCGCTGCAATTCAAAGCTATAGTAAATCAATCGAGACCGTCAGAATGAAACGAAATGTCGAGCAAGGCGAGGTTGCCAGCGTGATAGAAATTGAGTAGGATATGTATTTCATTATAACGGTTAATATTCAATTTGAATTCGATCATAAGTAACCCCCTAGATAGCAGAGATCTCTAAAAGTTAAAAGTAAGTCGATTTCTTTCTGGAGTGAAATGACCTGTAAATCAGGAAACCATTTTATGAACGCAATCTTATGATCCTGATATGACACAGGACAAATGGACACGAGAGTCCTAATGAACAAGGCAATAAACAGGGTGTCTTCAGGAAGTCAAGAAACTGACATTCTTGGAACGTTCGGACACAATTTTGAGACGTTCATTTGATGTACACATGATATGTCACTTATCTCCAATGAAACGTGATAGCACTATTGTAGAAGTGATACATCTCTGACACCTATGACATTACCATTGATATATCACTACACCTACTTACGTAGTATCTACTCATATTGAGTAACAAAAGAATTCGAAATAATATATAAGAATTGCTGAATCCTATATATGACCATATGGAAATCATTTGAGTTCTCCTTTCAATTTTTCTTGAAATTTTTATCCTCTATACCAGAATTTAAAGAAAAATTCGAGATGGTACTGATTGTTATTTTCTTCATGACATTCAAGAAATATTTCGAAAGATCCAAAATGCCATCATTCCGGTGATTCATAATTCTCTTATGAATATATTATGAACATATTCAATCATTATATACTGTCTGTAGGTTAATCGAGGAGGTGTTACATTAATTTCACTTGATGACACTTAGCATTGTCAAACTAGAACAAAATGTTCGAAGGAAGATATTTAACATTTTGATGTTGAAAACGGGAATAGATTGGTTTCCTAAACGTCCAAAACTGAGTGAAAACTCGATATCTCCTCAATATCTCTATCTCAATATGTCTTCTCTTCAAACTTTTTTTCGAACAAAGTATCACTAATGAGGTAATGGAATTTGTTCAGGCTTCCTAATTGAAAAATTTGTTGAACGCAGTTAAATTTTGAGGCAAATCATCTGATTTGTCCTATAACAAATATATTCGAATAATATTCATATTTTCATTTTGTAGGAACGAGGAGAGGAAATCCCAAATAATGAAGATGAATGAATATTTCATTGTTAATTCCTGATCCCTCAAACAACAGGTATATGAGAGAGAGACAATAGAGAGAAAAATTGAATTTCATGAGAAAAAAACTTGTTTTGGTGATCACTTCATAAATATTCCATGTTATTCATTCCTACGGCAAAAAGCGCAACAAATGTTTTACAAAATGGGTTTTTCAATGGAAAATGAATCTGTTGCCCATATCACCGCTCACTGCTTGATAAAACATGTTATATTCAATAATTACAGGGTGTCCGCTAAAAGGAGGTCAATCCATTAACCACATATTCCTTGAACAAAAACAATATGAGTTTCTAAATATCATTTTTCATTTTAGCCCTTCATATTCGGTATACAGGGTGTGAAAGTTGGAAATTGAAAACTGTTTTTTTCTAATTACCCGCGTATTTGATAAGATATTAATCTCAAAATTGGTACATTACTTCAGCACAACGAGTTACATCGTGTGAGAGAAACAAAACAGAAAATTACTGTCGAATATTCAAGATACTGGGGGTCAAGTTCACACTTATCCCCATATTTTGTTTGTACGTGCGCTATTGACTTCTTATCTATTTTTCTTCAAGTGTTCAATCATTTTTGAGTATTTTTTGTTTCCTGTAAAATTTCGTTTGAATCATTTGTTTTTAAGATAATTCGAAAAGTACTGGTTATTCATTATTCAAAATTTTTGGGATTTTCTCTCCTCGTTTCTATAAAATAAAAATATGAATATTATTTCAATATACGTGTAGTAAGGACAAATCAGATGATTTGCCCCAAAATGTCACTGCGTTTAAAGAATTTTCCTATCAGAGAGCCTAAAAGAAAAATTCACTAGCTTGTCAGGGACAATTTGTATTGAAAAATTTTTGGAGAAGAGAAATAAAGGTATATAGAAAAAATATCAAATTTTCACTTATCTTTGGACGTTTCGGGACCGGTTCTGCTCCCGTTTTCAACATGAGAAGAGATTATTTCAATAGCGAAGTCGTATAATGTCTTGAAGCTTTTCAGTTTTCAATGACAATTGGTGACGTTGGCAATCAAATGAGTTACAGGATGTTTTCATTAATTGATCTTGAATTTACCATTTCCATGTTCAGATTTTAGTAGTGGGATAATATCAAAATTATTGAAAAAGAAGATAACAACCAGAAGAGAAAAATCAAAGAATCTGCTTGCATTCTTCTGAACGGAGACAATAGCATTGCTTCTTGTTCAGTTAATATAGACAGAACATGGTATTCACTACTAAAATCTGAACATGAAAATGGTAAATTCAAGATCAATTAATGTAAACATCCTGTAACTCATTTGATTGCCAACGTCACCAATTGTCAATGAAAACTGAAAAGCTTCAAGACATTATACGACTTCGCTATTGAAATAATCTCTTCTCATGTTGAAAACGGGAGCAGAACCGGTCCCGAAACGTCCAAAGATAAGTGAAAATTTGATATTTTTTCTATATACCTTTATTTCCCTTCTCCAAAAATTTTTCAATACAAATTGTCACTGACAAGCTAGTGAATTTTTCTTTTAGGCTCTCTGATAGGAAAATTCTTTAAACGCAGTGACATTTTGGGTCAAATCATCTGATTTGTCCTCACTACACGTATATTGAAATAATATTCATATTTTTATTTTATAGAAACGAGGAGAGAAAATCCCAAAAATTTTGAATAATGAATATACCACCTCCTCGATTAACCTACTATGCGGCTTAGGTAATCTCATAATGTTCACATACTCCTATTTAGTGTGATGATTTTATAATCATTCCATTTATAATTATAATTTTTCATAATAATTTCAATCAATTATCATATTATCAATGTATCTACATACAATTTTCGAATCATTGCCTATAGTCTATCTAAATCTAAATTATATCTATCAAATTTATCTGACTCCAAATCTGTAACAAATATCTGAATGCTTTTAAAATCAATTTCGATACCATTTGTGCCATCTATCGAATGGTAGCGCAACTTCAACGATAAAGCAGCTAACTCAAATCTGCTGAAATAGAATTCGCTTAGACAAAATCTAACTGTTCGTCGATAATATCGATATGAAGAGTGCGCTGCGAATCGAAAATGCAGAAGGTTAACGAAGAACTCAAAAATCCTTCTTCTCGTCAGAACCACCAAAGAGTACAGTTCATAACGTAGAACGCAAGTCGGTGAGAATTTGGTATGATCGAATCTTTTTAAAAATATCTATATAATCCGAGGGGTAAACAGCTGTGGATTTATGGTGTACACCAATATGGAATTCCATGGATTTCCATGGATTTCCATGGAATTCCATGGATTTCCATGGAATTCCATGGATTTCCATGGATTTCCGTGGATTTCCATGGATTTCCTCGGATTTACGTGGATTTAAATGGATTTATATGGATTTATATAGATTTCCATGTACGATGCAGATGCAACAGCGCATGCGCAAACGCATGCGCAAACGCGTGCGCAAAGGTATGCGCGATGGCATTGTTAAACAACTGTTAGTAAACAACAGAACTCAAGTAGAGTGCAAGTGCATTTAGATCTCGATTTAGATGAATCCCTACTAATCGAATAACGAGAAATAACTGAGTAAGTATGTGGAAACGATTATAGAATAGAATACTATCTGTGGCAATGTTAGTGATAAGTATGTTCAAAAAATCATGATTGAAAATTGATGGAAAATATATTTCTATAGGCTTATTCGATTACCACTGAATTATATCACGTGAATTTTTCAGTTTTCTTCGTTTCCAAGTTTCAATTCTTGTATGACGTCCTGTCTGATGAACATTCAGTTGATTCATATTAATAGAAAATAATCTTCAGAGAACTGAGGAACAACTTGAGTACCCAACTCCATCATTATTTATAATTCTATGTCATATACGACTGATATCGAAAATATAGTGTCCCGACAATAGGGACGTTTTCTGAATTGAAGATATTATATTCTCGTGAAATTTAAAAAATTAAATCAAATATGTATATTTTATAGGTATACAGTATGTCTCAGAAAGTTGCCAACAAAGGGACAACTCATTCATTTCAAATTTTTTGAAAAAAAAGTCATTATTCATGAAAGTCCTGCAAGATGTAATACAATACCGAAGAAGCAGATATCAAATACCGAATTTATCTAGTCGTATACGAGGTATGTCGAAAGATATGTATTTGGTTCCAGATCAAAGTACATACCTACCTATATTTTCAAATTGTTCTCAATAAAAGTTGACTAGAATTGAAAACTATGTACAAATATCTGATCACATATAATTATCTACGATGAAAATCAGGTCTGATCATTTTTTATCTCGCTTTTATAATTTCTTCAACAATTGATTGTTTTCGGAAACTTTTTGATTATCATTTCTACGAAAAATTACGTTTTTTAGTAAGATTGATGATTAGGAAGTTTTTATTTTCAATCGATCATTCAAAAATTTCAAAGAATGATAATACCTGATTTTCATAGTAGATAGAAGTATTCAGATTATTGGAAATAATGTTCAATACTAGTCAACTTCCCCAAAAATGATTCTCTATTTAGTCGAAAATGAAGGTATTGCAGAATTGATATTTTTTTAAATGCTCCGTATAGGACTGGAAAGATTTGATGTATGATATTTGCATTTCTGGTTCGAGGCCTCACAGAACTTTTGACAAGGAATGCCTTCAATTTGTTTTCAACTGTTCAACTTTTTCAGACATATCACTAGAAATCCAATGAAGATATGTATCACGTTAAACTGAGAAGTGATGATGATGAACCTCTTGCAAATTGCAAATTCGTAGAGCGTTTAATGCACAGAAATTGATTTATCATACTTGTATGGCTTTTTCATGT